AGGAGGGTGAGGGAGGGTGAGGGAGGAGGGTGAGGGAGGAGGGTGTGGGAGGAGGGTGTGGAAGGAGGGTGCGGAAGGAGGGTGCGGGAGGAGGGTGCGGGAGGAGGGTAAAAGGAAGGGCCCAGCGAGAGGCCTCGGCCGTGGGCTGCCGATATGCCACAGGCTAGCTGACCCGTCCCGCACTGCCTGCCACTCGTGCACGGCCCAGCAGCTGGCCACAAAGGGTTCTGAGACCCGGGGACACTGTCTACTCCTCAGAGGCCTTCTGGTCACTGCCGAGTCTCGGGGACGCTGTGTGCACCCAGACTGCAGGCAGGCCCGCGTGTGCCCGGCCTCCACTGCCCAGCCAGGGCCGGCCACAGGGCCTCCGCTGAGGGAGGGCCCCGACGGCGCTGCCCACGGTGAGCTGCATGTCCCCGCAGAGGACCGAGCGCAGACAGGACCGCGCCCGCCCGGGGGACGGACAGTGCCCAGATCTGGGGGACGGCCACCGAGGCCGCAGGCAGGCGCTCCGGCCACCACAGCCTCCACTGGTCTGCGTGGCGGGCTGCCCTTTAAAGTGATAGGAAGCCAATTTGGGAAAATCATCGACATGCACATGAGCATTGACCAGCCACGTTTACATGCACGTGAACTGCACTGCGGCGGACATTTGGCTGCCAAAGTTGTAATGACATGATGTCCGGGGTGGAGGTGACAGCTGAATAGGACCCCCACCACGCGGGCTGGGGGCGGAAGAGCACAGGGCTGGGCTGAAGGCAGCAGCAGAGGTGCGTGTCTGTGCGTGTGTGGTCGAGGAGTAGGTATTCGATTCTCCGCACATAAAATACCCGAAGGGAGCGTGAAAGAGACTCGGTGAGGGAAGAAGAAAACCCCTCACTCTACATTCTTTTCTCCTTTTCAAGCAGGAGTGTGCACAATCCACACAGAAATGAAGGAATACGTTGGTTGGTGGTGATGGAGGTTGTGGTGGTTGTGGGGTCTGGGTCTGGGCACTGAGCTTTGCTCAAGGCTAGTGCTCTATCACTTGAGCCACAGCGCCACTTGTGGTTTTCTGGAGATTAACTGGAGATAAGAGTCTCATGGACTTTCCTGCCCGGGCTGGCTTTGAATCTCGATCCTCAGATCTCAGCCTCCTGAGTAGCTGGGATGGCAGGCGTGAGCCCTGGATGCCCAGGCTCTGGATCACTATGTCATACACCTGTGCTCCCAATGGGCCCGGCTGCCTCCGGTCTTCTCTCCCCCCGACTCCACCTCCCTCCACACAGGGCCCCAGGCTGGACTAGACCTGCCCAGCCCGGGCCCTCCTCGGCCTCCCCCTGCCCCCGGGAGCTCACCGTGGACCCTGCGCAGCTTCACAAACCCTGGTGAGGCTGAGAACACGGCGGCACGCTCCCCTCCTCCACATGACCAGGATCCTACGCCTTTCCCCCAGATCCAAGCTCCTCCTCAGCCCTCCCGGGCTGAGCCCGCACCCCCTGCACCGGCCCTTCCGCTGGCTGGGCTCCAGAAACAGTCGGCAGACTCCCTCGGCCCCATCCGGCATCGACAAGCCGCCTTTGTGCAGCGGCACGCAGCTCTGCCCCTGCGGTCCCCGCGTGCGGTCAGCGCCAGGGACTTCTAAGGGACAGGGTCAGGGTGCCCCGTCTGCTGTGCTGAGAATCCAGCACCGTGGGAAGCGGGGTCAGCGGCCGTCCGCCGCCGCCGCCGCCGCCACCACCGCCACCCCGTGCCTCCTGCTCCTTCATCACAGGAAGTACACGACTGGCCCGTGCTGTCCTTCCCAGACCCCCAGCACCCCCAGGACGAGTCCAGTGCGGTCCTCCACCGTTCCCAGAGAGCAGAGAGGAAGTCACTCGGACCAGAGGGGCCGCGCGAGCGGCGGGGCATGCCGACAAAGGGCCCTCTGTGCCGCCAGCCATCAGGCTTTTCATCTGGTTTTCTGACGGCAGAATCCTTGAAAGCGTCGCCGAGTAATTATAACAGGGTTAAAGTTTCCCAGCACTTGAAGAAATTACAATTTCTAATTCTGCAGATGATGTATCTTAAATCATTTTAAAAATACAAATAGTGAGAAGGTCACAGAGGTCAACATTTAACCAAGCCTAAGTTATCTGTCAGATAGAATTTTCCTCTGGGACTGATGGAAAACACAAAGTTGAGAAAAAAAAATCCAACTAAAGAAAAAAAGTCACATAAAACTTTAAACATACTTCAGCAACTATAAATCAGATTTTTTTTAAAAAAGCTACATGGTAGAATATGCAACTAGCAAGCACAAAGCTCTAAGTTCAAATCCCATTACTGTCTTCCCCCAAAGGAAAAAGAATCAAGGGCTACGGGCCTTCTACCAAGGGAAGAGAATATCGAATTTCAGTGAAGAGCCATCCCCAGCACGGGAGGCCTGGCGAGTACTTCCGGAGTCAAACTAACGCCACCAAAGAGAAACTTTCCACCCACGACTGCTAAAGTGTCAGATGAACAAGTGCCATCATCGGCAATCACCAATGACAATGGCGCTCCCAGGTGACACTGTGCCCGTGTGACCAGGCCCAGCCGCCATCCTGCGCCCCACGGACCGTGCTGTGCCGTGCGGCTGGGGGCCCGGGGGACCGTGCGCACCGCGGTCTGCCTCACGGCCGCTGCCAGCTGAACACAGGCTTGAGAGGAACAGCGGCCACATCAAGGTCCAGAGCAAGGACCTGGCAGGGCTGGAGAGCAGACCCAGACATCCCCTCCGATGCCCACATCGCTGACCAGCCACGTCCAGTCCAGAACCAAACAATGACCCCATGTCTATGCAAGCCTGTGGGTCTCCAAGGCAGCAGAGGCCGGTGCAGAGCCCGTCAGGACCCAAACACAGGCCCCGGCCGGGCAGAGGTCCGAGGGGCCTCACCAGCCCCCAGGCCAGCACTACTGCTGCCACTCTGATTCATCACCCAGCACATGCCGGTCCCCCGCTTTGTGGGTCACAACACATTAAATAACTTCCCAAGCCACCCACACACCAGCAAGAAGCGGGGCTGGCCAGACCCCGGCCTGAGCTGCAGCTGTCCGAGCCTGGGGCTGGGAAGTGCCGGGGCCGGGGGCCGCCCAGCCAGGAGGCTCCTAGCGTGTATGCCCCTAAGGACAAATCTGAGGTCTGGGCTTGCTCGACAGCGAGCAGCCCAGCAGGGTTAGAAGCAGGACTGTCTGGATTCACGTGTTCTGCACTTCCTCTTGGCCGCAGCCCTGCCTCCCCGGTCCCCAGACCCAGGCGCCCGCAGAGCAGGTGGCCGGGCAGGGGCTGGCTGCCGGTGGCCGGGCAGGGGCTGGCTGCCGGTGGCAGGGGGGCCACGTGCCGCTGAAGCCGTCCCACAGGAGGGGGCCCCCAGGCCTGGGCCGGGGAACAATGGCAGCGTGTCAGCAGCGGGCGGGAGGAACAACAAAGAGAGGCCGTTTGGAAGATCAAGGGAAAAAATAAACAGCCCGGACAAGACAGCAGACAAACAGAGGTGCCGGAGCCCTGCCAAAGCAGGACCGAAGCTGGCGAGGCCGGGAGCGCAGGAGCGGGCAGGAGGCAGACACCACAGCGCAACCGGGCCGCCACACCAGCCGGCGGCACACCGGGCGGCCACTAGGCAAACATCAAGTTGAACCTTCCTCTCATGCTAGCCGACGTGAATTCCAAACAAACACGAAACCATAAAATTGAAAGAGTTCTAGAAGAAAGGGTGTGAAAAAAATAAATGTTATGGCCGTGGGGGCAGGGGGTTCCGGGCATGGCCATGCCACACCCGACTGGGGCTTGAACTCAGGGCCTGGGCGCAGTCCCTGCCTGAGGAGATCACTCTACCACTTGGGCCACAGATCCACTTTTGGCTCTTTGGTGGCCAGCTGGAGTTGAGTTGGCTTTCAATCAGGATCCTGAGATCTCAACTACCTGAACAGCAAGTTAATTACAGGTGTGAGCCACCAGTGCCCTGCTCAAATGTTATAGCTTTAAGAGTAAAATATGGGGCTGGGAAGGTGGCTCAGTGGTAGAGCGCTTGCCTCCCATGCATGAGGCCCTGGGTTCGATTCCTCAGCACCACATAAGCAGAAAAAAAAACAGAAGAGGTGCTGTGGCTCAAGTGGTAGAGCGCTAGCCTTGAGCTGAAGAGCTGAGGGACAGCGCCCAGGCCCAGAGTTCAGGCCCTATGACTGACAGAGAGAGAGAGAAAAAAAAATTTATACCTAGTGTGATACAAAAGCTAGAAACAAAAGCAACACCACACACTTAAAAACATAAAAATGAGCCGGTGATGGTGGCTCACCCCCGTAATCCTGCCTACTCAGGCAGTGAGATCCTCAGCTCTCCACTCAAAGCCAATCTGTGCTGGAAATTCTACGAGACTGTTTGTTATTGGTTGTGGGGCTTGAACTCAGGGCCTGGGCGCTGCCCCTGAGCCTCTGTGCCACTGCCTCTAAGAGACTCCAAATTCACCACAAAAAGCTGGACGTACAGCTGTGAGACTCAAGTGGTAGAGCACTGGTCTTGAACACACAGAAAGCTGAGGACAGTACCTAAGACCTGAGTTCAAGCCCCAGGACCAGCACAAACAAACAGCATAAAAACCAAACAAATGTGCATGGGGGAAAAAAAGACAGAATCTGAAGAGTGGGGAAAGTGGTCTAAAGGCTCCACACTCACAAGGCAGTGGTCGAGCTGGCAGTCAGCAGCCAGCAGGGCCTTCCCGGGCCCCAGCGTCAGAGACATCCCTGCCTGTGGACATCAGTGAGGTAAAGCAAGAGGCAACTCCTAAACACGAGCGTGCCAGGGTCCCAGGAGAACCCGGAGGGGGAGAGCCCAGGGTCCCGGGAGAGGCTGGAGCGGGGAGAGGCCCGGTCTGTGTCAGGAAGTTGGCTGTCATGGACACTGGGCAGGAGACATCTGAGCACTGCAGGGGAGGCAGGGCAGGGGTGCCCAGGCCTGAGGCAGGGGCAGAGAGGCCGGGCGCTGCACCAGGGGCAGAGAACGATGCGCAAACAGCTCAGACATGTTTAGACACCCCGCAACCCCGGAAACGCAACCAAACCACACTGGAGTCTGACGAGACCACACGGAGCGTGAGAAACGCCCAGCCACTCCGCCCGCAGCCCACAGAGCCAGTGGTCTCAGAGGAGGACAGGGTGCCGACAAAGCTGGCCCCGCAGGGAGCAGCCTGCAGGGCCGTGACCACCCGGACACAGCCGGGCCCAGGACCGGGCCAGGGAGCCCGAGAGCCGAGAGCCAGGGCCGGCCTGGAGGGAGGGAGGGGCTCTCCAGACCGGCGCCCCAGGACAGCACAGCACCGACTCCACGGAGCAGCTGCAGGGAAGGTGCCGCTGGCCCGGAGGCTCCCGCACTCTGGGAAGGCCTACGGAAGCCTCATTGGCAGGGCCACGGAAGAACCAGCCAGTCTCCTCACGACCCTCCTGCCTCAGCCTCCAGCATGCTGGCATTCGAGCATTCACCCCTTCACCCCTGGCTAAACATCTCTTTGTATTTATATTTTTGGTGGTACTGGGGCTTGAACTTGGGGCCTTGCGCTTGCCAGGCAGGCGCTGTGCTACTTGAATCACGCTCTCAGCCCTTTTTGTGTTCCTTGTTTTCTGAATAAGGGTCTGACTTCTCTGATGGGCCTGGACTGAACCAGTCTCCTACTTACACTTCTTGTATCACTGAAGATGGCAGACACACACACCGAGCTCAGCTTTGTACTGGTTGAGATGGGGTCTCACAAACTGCCTGGGATCAGCCTCAAACCACAATCCTCCCTGCCAAGGAACTAGGATTGCAAGCTTGAGGCATCAGGCTAGGATTAATGCAGTTTTGTTTTCTTTTTGGTTGTAGGTCTTGGAACTCTGGGCCTGGCGCTGTCCCTCAGCTCTTCAGCCCAAGGCTAGTGGTCTATTACCTGAGCCACAGCGCCACTTCCGGTTTTTCTGGTGGTTCATTGGAGATGAGGATCTCACGGTCTCTCCTGCCAGGGCTGGCTTTGAAACGTGATCCTCAGATCTCAGCCTCCTGGGTAGCTAGGATGACAGGCGTGAGCCATCGGTGCTCAGCTTGATGTATTTCTTTTTAAGAAAGCACAATAAAAATTTTAAAAATACTGTCCTGGTGTGGGTGGGTGGGTGGTGTCTGTAATCTTACTTGGGAGGCTGAGATCGGTGTATCAAGGTTTGAAGCCAGCCTGGGCAGATAAATTCAGGAGACTTTTATCTCCAGTCAAGCACCAAAAAGCCAGAAGCAGCCGTGGCACAGGGGTGGAGTGCTAGCCTTGAGCAAAAGAAGCTACGCCAGAGCGTGAGGCCCTGAGTTCAAGCCCAGTGCCAGCACACACACACAAACCACAAGGATAAAACAGCGCGCTACACTGGAGCCGGAGCCGGAGCCCGAGCCCGAGCCGGGCGACACACCTCCCACCACAGGAGACGAGGGCCCGGAGCAGGGCTTCCTGACCCCACAGTGGGTGGGAGCCCAAGGTGGGCTCGGCGGCACCCGCCCGCGGCTGCCCTCCGCCACGTGGCGTGGGTCTGGCTGGCGAGGGGGCGGCCCCACTCCGGCCACAGCACCAGACGGGCACCCACGGCACCCGGAGGCAGGCAGCACACCGCCCCGGGAGCAGGCCGCGTGGGAGCTTCCCGCCGCATTCTCGTGACTTTTCAGCAAGCTTGAAATGATTTCAAAACGAAAATATGTCGCATGGGGAAGGGGCGGGCACACGCCCCTGAGCTCAGGAGGGTAGCCGCGCCGCAGGCGTCAGAACGGACCTGGCTTGGACACACTGAGGCCCAGGGAGAGGAGGCTGGGGCCAGACCCCCCCCCCCACAGCAGATATAAAAGAGAGCTCACTGGGCGCCGGTGGCTCACGCCTGAAATCCTAGCTACTCAGGAGGCTGAGATCTGAGGATCGCGGTTCAAAGCCAGCCCGGGCAGGAAAGGCCGTGAGACTCTTACCTCCAATAAACCACCAGAAAACTGGAAGTGGTGCTGTGGCTCACGCAGTAGAGCACTTGCCCTGAGCTGAAGAGCTGAGGGACAGCGCCCAGGCCCAGAGTTCAGGCCCCACGACCGAGGACAACAACAACAGAAAGAGAAGGTCTCCAGCAGCACAAGGGAGCTCTGGCGGATGAGCAGGAGAGCTGGGGACAAGGCTGAGGCTTGACCTCGGGCATGCTCGGGCAAGCCCCCCTGCAGCCCGCAGCGGCTGCCCGGCTCCGCTAGGGGCCAGGCTTTTTTTTTGGGGGGAGGGGGATGGCAGGGTCTTACTCATAGCCCAGGACTGGCCTCCAAGCTCTGAATCCTCCAGCCTCAGCCTCCAGAGTGTAGGTTAGAGGCTTGCAATAGTAGGTCTGGCTCTTTTTTTTTAGTGTTTCTCCAACAATCCTCTCCCTTGGCCTCTAGAAGCAGCGGGAAGCAACGTTTAAAACAAGATTCAATATCATGAGATGCGACGTGGACAGCGTTGCAGCTGCAAAGGGAAGAGTGGGGAGCTGGCGCCCGGTGGGGCCACCCAGAGGACGGTCCTGGAGAGTCCTGGGGCCACCGCCAGTGCCTCCAACTCAAGCTGGGGCCAGGGCGGAGCCCACGAAGGCCTCCCTCCAGGTGGAAGCGGCCAAAGCTGGGGGGGTCGGGGGGGGGCACAG